GGAAGAATGAAGAGACTTTCGCTGTGCCAAGTCAACAGCTGGCACCTCTCCAGAGTTAAGGGGGTGAGTCACAATGACGTCAGATCCACACCTCTGGTTCTGCACGGAGAGGCCACGGAGGAGGACATGAGGGACGCGGCTGAGGGCAATGAGCTTCCACTCACCCCTTCAGGCTACCCAGCATTTTCCAAAACTAACTTTCAGAATCAGAATCGAGTTGGAAGGGATCTTGGAGGTCTTCTAGTCCAGCCCCCTGCACAAGAAGGAAACCATATACCCCTGGTGGCGAACCTATGGCACGCGTGCCAGAGGTGGCACACAGAGCCCTCTCTGTGGGCACGCGTGCTGTCGCCCCCGCCCAGCTCCATCGGGTTTCTCCAGGGAAAGAGAGGGGAAGAGACAGAGAGAAAAAGGAAGAGAGGGAAGGAAAGAGAGAAAGAGAGAAAAACAGAGAAAGAGAGACGGGATGAAGAGAGAGAGAGGGAGGGAAAGAGAAATGATATTACAAAAGTTTTTCTTTTTTATTGTTGCTAAACGTAATATTTCAAAAGCAGAAAAAAATGAAGGGGCGTAAAAGTGCAATTTATCAAGTTTTTCTTAGAACAATTAGCTGAACTCTGCCTTGTTTATCATTATTTTAGGTAGTAAAACCTCAGTATTCAGGTTAAATTGCCGTGTTGGCACTTTGCGATAAATAAATGGATTTTGGGTTGAAGTTTGGGCACTCGGTCTCTAAAAGTTCGCCATCCCTGCCATATACCATTTCAGACAAATGGCTGTCCAATTTCTTCTTAAAAAGCTTCCAGTGATGGAGCACTCACAGCTTCTGGTGGCAAGCAGTTCCACTGGTTAATTGTCCTCACTATTAGGAAGTTTCTCCTTAATTCCAGGTTGCTCTTTGATTAGTTTCCATCCATTATTTCTTGTCCTGCCTTCAACTGCTTTGAAGAATAGCTTGACACCTCTTCTTTGGGGCAGCCCCTCAATTACTGGAATGCTGCTATCATTCCCCCCTAGTCCTTCTTTTCTCTAGACTGGCCAAACCCAAATCCTGCAGCCGTTCTTCGTATGTTTTAGTCTCCAGGCCTTTAATCATCTTAGTTGCTCTTCTCTGCACTTTTTCCAAAGTCTCAACCTCTTTTTTTGTAAAGTTTTGTGACAAAAAAACTTTCTTCCCGTAAAATTCGTGTCTTCTTCCAAAGGCTGGCTCACATCCCAGAACACGCTCAGGCTGGGCTCACCAAATGCACCGGAGGCGTTCACACAAGCCACTAAGGAATTCAATCTGGCTTCTCATACTGTAAAAAAAGCGGTTGAGACTCTGGAAAGAGCGCAGAGAAGAGCAACCAGGATGATGAGGGGACTGGAGACTAAAACATAGGATGAACGGTTGTAGGAACTGGACCTGGCTGGTCTAGTGAAGGGAAGGACCAGGGGAGACAGGAGAGCATCTTCCAATATTTGAGGGGCTGCCCCAGAGAGGAGGAAGGGGGTCAAGCTATTCTCCAAGGCACCCAAAGGCCAGAAAAGAAACAATGGACGGAAACTGATCAAGGAGAGATTCAACCTGGAAATAAGGAGGAATTTTTTTCTGACAGGGAGAACAATCAACCGATGGAACAGAAGTTGCCTTCAGAAGTTGTGGGAGCTTCATCCCTGGAAGAAGAGACTGGACTGCCATCAGTCAGAAATGGTGTAGGGTCTCCTGATTGAGTGAGTGGGTTGGACTAGATGACCTCCAAGGTCCCTTCCAACTCTGTTATTCTATATTCAATGGAACAGAAGTTGCCTTCAGAAGTTGTGGGAGCTTCATCCCTGGAAGCCTTCAAGAAGAGGCTGGACTGCCATCGGTCAGAAATGGTGTATGTATGTATGTATGTATGTATGTATGTATGTATGTATGTATGTATGTATGTATGCATTTATTTATTTATTATTTATTTATTCATTCTGTCGTATTTCTATGTCTATGTATAGATAGGTAGGGTCTCCTGCTTGGGCAGGGAGGGGTTGGACTAGATGACCTACAAGGTCCCTTCCAACTCTGTTATTCTGCCATCAAGCCAGTGGTGGGTTTCTACCGGTTTGCCCCGGTTCGGGCAAACTGGTAGTGGCGGTGGCAGGAGGCTCCACCCAGTGGTGGGATTCAGCCAGTTCGCACCACTTCGGGAGAACCGGTTGTTAAATTTCTGAGCAGTTTGGTAAACTGGCTGTTGGAAGGAATCATTAGGCCAGAGAACCGGTTGTTAAATTAATTGAATCCCACCACTGGCGCCACCTATCCGCCCGGACATCATCACGGACGCTGTGCGCATACATAGAACATTCTGCGCATGTGCAGAAGTGCACGCAAGCTCCCAATTCCGAACCAGTAGCGAAGGTAAGTGGAAGGCACTACTGCATCTAGCCATCATCAAAAACAGTCTGGCTTTTCCCGAAGTTAAAAATTATTTTTAATGCCGACTGGTGGCCCCCAGGGGGAGGGCCTTCTCTGTGGGGGCACCTACTATCTGGAACGAGCTCCCCCCGGAGATACAGAGGATCCCGGATCTGCGCACCTTCCGCCGTGCCTTAAAGACCTTACTATTTCACCAGGCCGGCCTGGCCTAATTTTCCCCCTCTTTTATAAAAGATTTTTAAAATTTTAAACATCTTTTAGTATTTATATATTCAAATTTTAAAATTGGTTTTAAATTGATTGGGGTTTTAATTTGTTTGGGCCAAAACTATTTAATTTGATTTTAATTCCACTTTTAAATTTTGTATGTATGTATTTTATTGTTTGGCTGTGCACCGCCCTGAGTCCTTCGGGAGTAGGGCGGTATAGAAATCAAATCAAATAAATAAATAAAATAAATAAATAAATAAATAAATTTTTAACTTCCTTTCTGCTGCCTTATGAACCCTAAGTGAAGGAAGGCCACTGGATACGGGGAAAAATGTTATTTGAACACAGGAATTATTACTCCCTTGAATGTATAGGTAGTCCTCAACTTACAACAGTTCATTCAGTGACTGTTCAAGGTTACAACGGCACTGAAAAAAGCGACTGAGGACCATTTTTCACACTTACGACCGTTGCGGCTTCCCCACGGTCACATGATCAAAATTTAGAGGCTTTGGCAACTGGTTTGTATTTATGACGGCCGCAGTGTCCCGCGATCCCCTTTTGCGACCTCCTGACAAGCGAAGTCAACAAGGGAAGTCGGATTCACTTAACAACCGTGTTGCCGATTCAACAACTGCAGTGATTCACTTAACGACAGTGGCAAGAAAGGTCATAAAATGGGGCACAGCTCACATAACAAGCGAGCAACAGAAATTTTGGGCTCAACTGCGGTCGTAAGTCGAGGACTACCTGTCCTGGTTCACATGGGCCCCAAGGAAATGTGGCAATAGAAATTTTATAGTTTTAGAAACTATCCAATCAGCACAAGAGGTCCTTCACCCCTAGCCCCTTCCCATGAGTTTGGGCCCCTCATCCCACCAGGATGTCGGTAAAACAAGGACACTGGGAAGGGGTGGAGGAAGAAGAAGAAGCGAAGAAATGGTGGTAGTGAAGGGAGAGGGAAGAGAAGAGTAAGGAGGAGGAGAAGAGTACAAAGAGGGGAAGGGGGAGGAAGAGGAAGAGAAGGAAAAGAGAAGAAGATTGAAAGAAAAAGAGAGAGAGGAGAGGGTGGGGGAGGAGGATTGTGGAGTCCTTGGTGGCCTCTGAGCTTGGTGGTTTTCTTACAGACGTTTCATGACCCAACTAGGTAACATCATCAGTACTAAAAGGGAAAGGGCTTTGGGAAGAAGAGGCGGTCTGGGAAATTGTGGTTAAAGAGAAAAAAGAAGCAAACTCTGAAGTTCTGCTCCCTACAAACAAGCGGAGAATGATCACATTTTCAAACCAGCACTAGTGTCCCCACCACAAATGGTCGGAGTACCAGGCTAGAAACTGGGAGACAGGGAGTTCTAGTCCCACCTTAATTATGAAACCCAGCTGGGTGACTTTGGCTCAATCTGCAGGAGATGGTGAATTCTAGTCCAGCTTTAGCCATGAAAGACAATTGGGTGACTTTGGGCAATCATCAGGAAAAAGTGAGTTGTAGTTCCGTCTTAGCTGGCTTGCCGATTTTGGACCAATCACTAGGCGATTGTGAGTTCTAGTCCCGCTTTAGGATTGAAAGCCAGCTGGGTGTCTCTGAGCCAATCATCAGGAGACTATGAATTCTAGTCCCACCTTTAGGCCAGTCTCTCTTTCTCAACCTCACAGGGTGGTTGTTATGGGAAAAGAGGAAGAGGAAGCAGTATAAGGTGTACAGTAGTGGCCAAAATTGTGGAAAACTTTTGGGGAAAAGTATATTTTCTAAAACTAGCTAATAGCACCACTTTTTTTGGAGTAGTACCATACAATTATATATCAATGGAAAGATAATTTAATCAAGAATGCAATGCAATAACTTTTAGGAAGGATTTGATATTAGAATAGCAGTTACCGTATAAAGAAGAAAAGTGAAACACGTAGAAAAAACAAAGATATACAAAAATTATCACCATAGAAAAAACGAGGTATATAAAAATGATCCCCATGTCAGTTAATCCTTAGTTGGGTAACCTTTAGCATGAATGACGGCCTTACAACGTCTTCCCATGGAGTGAACCAAGTCTTTGAGTTCTGCAGCTGTTCTAATGTGAAACCAAGATTGAATGATGGCTTCTATTAACTGGGTTTTATTGCTGGGTCGTTTCTGACTAACAAGTTTCTTTAGCCATGGATTTTCCATTGGGTTTTAAGGTCTGGGCTATTCCCAGGCCATTCATTCCAGCAGTGGAATAGGATTATCTTCAAACTCCAAAAAAAAGTGGTGTTATTAGCCATCAAACCTCAAAAATACACTTTTCCCAAAAGGTTTCCACAATTTTGGCCACCACTGTAGGTCTGCCACGTTGAGTTATGTATAAAAATAACGAAGGCGGTATTAAAATAAAATCCAAGATAAAATGATAAGGAATACCTTCCCTCGATGACTGTAATTATATCGTTCATCTGGATCAGAAGTTTGTCTGGTTCTTCGAAATCCTGCAGAGCCCGCATATCCGTGGGTTGAGCCTGGGAGAAGAAGAGAAAGCGAAGAGTGACATCTCTGAACCAAACGACAGGTCTTCTTCAACTTACAACGGGTTCATTTAGCGACCATTCAACCACCATTCAACCTAACAAAGGCACTGAAAAAGGTGACTTGAGGACCGTTTTTCCACATTTATGACTGCTGTGACGTCCTGTTCTGCCCCAGCTACGGACCCCAAAGAACGCAGCACACACAAATTCTGTACAAAACTTAACTTACTAAAATAACTCATTCTTTGTCAAACAAAGGCTGTTAATAAACTTTCTTAACAGCCTACAAGAAAACAAAGAATAAATAATCGTAATCTTACTATGGTTGGCAGAAAGCGCAGAAGCAATTTGCAGAGAATCCAGACACGAAGGAGAGTGAACTAAAGTTGTTCCCTGCAAATTGCTTCTGTCGGAGTTCCTCCTTAAATAGGCTAAGGGAGTGGCCAATTAGCCCCAAGCCTTACTCTCGAGGAGACCTCCTCCTGAGGAGCCACTCCTGCCTTTTGGCAGCTCTGAGCGCCCGTGCATCGAGAAGAGGCTCCTCCTCTTCATCCTCTTCACCCATGGAAGCTTCTGGAGGTTCTGAAGGCCCTGCCTGAATCCCTGCCTCTGGCACCACATCTTCTCCAGCCTCCTCACTGTCCGACTCGAGTGCCAGCTGCACAGGCTGCGGGCGCAGCACCACACCAGCCTCCTCGCTGTCGGAATCAGCTACTAGCTGCATAGGCCGCTGATGGGCCACAACACGTCCCGACGGTCAAAACGCTTGGCCACTGACTCATATTAATGACGGCGACGGTGTCCTGAGATCACTTGACCCCCCTTTCGCGACCTTCTAACAAACGAAGTCAGTGGGGAAGCGCGGATTCACTTAACAACCGCGTTACTCACTTAACAACTAATCAGAATCAGGGATAAGAGCTGGAAGGGAGCTTAGAGGTCCTCTAGTCCAACCCTCTGCCCAGGCAGGAGATCCTACATCATTTCAGACAAGGGGCTGTCCCAAGTCTTAAAAAACCTCCAGTGATTCACTTTAACAACTGTGGCCAAAAAAAAAAAAAAGTGTCGTAAAATGGGGCAAAACGCACTGAACAAATGTCTCGCTTAGCAACAGGAATTTGGGGCTCAGTTGTGGTTGTTAAGTCGAGGATGTAGGCTGCTGCATTTCGAACCCATGGAAGGTTTTAGATAGCTTTCAAGGGCCGTCCCCAAAGAAGAGGGGTTCCACATAATTTTACCACCGGTTCGCCGTGCACCGAAAATGTGTGCGCCTGCCTTCCGTGCATGCACTTCACTCATGCGCGCAGCTTGCACGCATGCATGCGGCTTAGAAAACGTGGCTAAATAGGATGGCGTAACACCGGGGCAGGTGGGCACCACCCACTACCGGTTCGAACCCGAACCGGCTGGATACCACCACTGGCCGCCCCACGCGGAGGGCATTGCAGTAGTCAAGACGGGAAGCGATCTGAGCGTTAAGGACCAGGTCTTTGTTCCTTACCTCCAGGAGGAAATCCCGCAGAGCCACGAAGGTGGGCCGATCTTCCGGTTTGTGCGCCCAACATTGCAACATGACGTTGTAGATATCCTGGGGACAATCCTCCGGTCGGCCGAGTTGTTCGCCTTCCTTATCGATCTTGTGCAGAATCTTTATTGGGAGAAAAGCTGGGTTTAGGAGAGCCAGTCGGGTGTTTCGGTTGGAACGCTGCCAGATCCAGCCCGGGAAGCGTTGCAGATAGTCCTCGACTTACGACCGTCCGTTTAGCGACGGTTCCAAGTTACCACGGCAGTGAAAAGAAGGGACTTTATGGACTTTGTCACACTTTAGGACCGTTGCAGCATCCCCGTGGTCAAGGACAGGCAGGTCCTCGACTTACAACAGTTCAATGAGTGACCAAAGTTACAACGGCCACTGAAAGACGTGACTTATGACCATGTTTCATAGTTGCGACCATCGCGGCATCCGCAAGGTCACGTGATCAAAATTCATACGCTTGGCATCTGGTTCATGCCTATGACGGTTGCAGTGTCAATGGGGTGACGTGGTCCCCTTTTGCGACCATCTGGCCAGCAAAGTCAATGAGGAAGCCAGATTCGCTTATTAATTTAGTAAGTGAATAAATTAATAATAAGGTTATTAATTTATCAACTGGAGTGATTCACTTAACAACCATGGCCAGAAAGCTCGTAAAATCGGGCAAAACTCACTTAACAAATGTCTCGCTTACCAACAGAAATGTTGGGCTCTATTACGGTCATAACTTGAGGACTTCTTGCAATAAAAATTCAGAAGCTTAGCAACTGACTCATATTTACGACAAGCGCAGTGTCATAGATTTGCGAGCTTATGACAAGCGAAATCAATGGGGAAGCCGGATTCACTTAACGACCAGGTTATCATCTTAACAATTGCAGCGATTCACTTAACGACGATGGCAAGGAAAGTCATAAAATAGGGGCAAAACTCACTTAATTGCCTCGCTTAGGAACAGAAATTTGGGTGTCCGCTGTGGTCGTTAAGTCGAAGACTGTCTGCACACCCCCGGCCTTTCCCATCATACCTGGCTGCCGTTAAGGCCAACCCAGGGCTCCTGTCCGTAGGTGAACATCTCCCAGAGGGTCACGCCGAACATCCAGGTGTCGCTGGCGTGGGAGAAAGTGCGGGTCTTCAGACTCTCTGGGGCACACCTAATCCATGGTGCGGGGCAGCCCAGGTGGAGGAGAGAAAGGAGAAAGAGAAGTGGTCAAGCCCCTAGACGGAATGGGAATTTTCGACTCGGTCTCTTCGCCTCGCCTGCTTTGCCTTGAGGTTTGCGCCTCTGGGTATTAGCCACAAACTTTTCTCCTCGGCTGACCTTCCGCCAGTCTTTCGCCCGGCACAATGGCCGCGGCCACTCCCTCCCAGGCGCTTCGCCGCAGCCCATACACAGAAGGGGGGTTCGTCCTAGGTTTTTCGACACCTGGGACAGTTAGGGCCAGGGGTGAAATGTACAATTTGTTACTACCGGTTCTGTGGGCGTGGCTTGGTGGGGGGGGGGTGTAATGTGACAGGGTGGGCATGGCCAACTTTTTTTTTTCTTTTTAACTTTTCAAAGCATTTTTTTCTATGCTTTGAAATTGTCAGAGGTATTTTTTAAAAAATACCTCTCTGACGATCCCAGCCGAGTTGCCTGATCGGCAGAGAGGTATTTTTTAAAAAACATTTTATTATTATTTATTATTAAATAAATAAATAAATAAATATTATTATTATTTAAATATAAAAAAATATTTTTAAAAAAATACCTCTCTGCCGATCAGGCAACTCAGCTGGGATCATCAGAGACTTTTCAAAGCATTTTTTTTAACCACCTCTTCGGCTAAGAGGTTGCAGAAAAAAATGCTTCCAGCTGAGCCGTGCAATCATCGGAGGCTTTTTTTTTTTTTTACTTTGAAAACCATTTTTCGTCAGAAGAGTTGTAGAAAAAATGCTTTTAAAAGTAAAAAAAAAAAAAAGCCTCTGATGATCGTGCGGCTCAGCTGGGCATGGGGGGGGGGGCTGCAGGGATTCTTGCTACCAGTTCTCCGAACCACCTGCCGCCATCACTACCGGATCAGGCGATCCGGTCCGAACCTGGAGCATTTCACTCCTGGTTAGGGCCCAACAAATCAGCTAGAGGATGGAGGGAGGGAGGGAGGGAGGGAGGAAGGAAGGAAGGAAGGAAGGAAGGAAGGAAGGGCGGACCTTGGTGAAATGGGAGGGAGAAGGAGGGAGAAGGAAGAACCCTTTTCAGGCCAGATATCCAAATCGATAACTAATGACAATGAATAATTTACAGAATTGATTCCCACCCCCCAAAAAAGGGGGGAGATGTTGGCAAACATCCCATTCAAGATTTAGAAAGGAAGAAAAGGAAAAGGAAGAGCCTTGGTGGTGCAGCGGACTAAGTGCTGTTATGTAGCACTTAGCTGCCAGCTGCCTGCAATTAGTTTGAGTTCAAATCTCACCAGGCTCAAGATTGACTCAGCCTTCCATCCTTCCGAGGTAGGTAAAATGAGGATCCAGATTGTGGGGGCAATAAACTGACTTTGTAGAAACACCGCTTATGGGGCGGTCAAAAGCCCTACTAAACAGGTATATACAAAAGAATGAAGGCTATTGCTATAAGTGCATTGTAAGCCTCCCTGAGTCTTCGGAGGGCGGCATATAAATTGAACTAATAAATAATAAATAAATAAATAATTGTAAAAGCGCTCCGTTCCCGCCCCTGCCCGTTTCCCCCAGTTCAAAGGGAAGCACTCCTGGTTTTTTTAAAAAATTTTTTACAAGGGGAAGAGTTAGTTGTAATTAATTTCTTAACCAAAAGCAACAGATAGAAGCGCTTCGGTTTGTTGGTTTGTCTGTTCTTTTCCTCCAGAGACATGTTTGTGCAGATTTCAGGAGTGGGTGGGAATGGGGTGTGTGTGTGTGTGTGTGGCACACAACAATCCACACACCTTTTGTGCTGTTAATAGGGGACCAAATAGGTGGCCAATTAGGAAGACAAAAGGAGGGAAAATATAACAAAAAGATAAACACGAATCTGTCTACAGGAAGATGAATCAATCTCTGCTGTGAGGAATGATTAAAATCTAAGTTAGGGTATCTGCTCAGATGCACAAACACACACTCACTATTTGCTATAACCAAATCTTTGTTTTTTCCTACGTGAATGAAAGATTTGACTTCTGTCCCAGTTGAAATTAATTGTGCTTGTTTCTGCCCATTTCCCCAATTTTTTTTTAAATTTTTATTATAGTTCAAAAAAAACCAGAACAAAAACAAATGTATAATAATTTTTCTATCACAGTGTAACATCACCAAAATATCCATGTATATATACACCAATAATCAGAAAGTAAAAATAGAAACTATTTACATATTCGTATTTCTCTTTAGCCAGGTTCTTCCTACGTAAACCAAGATTTTTATGCAGCCCTTGAAAGAGGCAGTGGTGAGGCCTCTCCTCAAGAAGCCCTCCTGGATCCAGCTGTGTTAGCAAATTATCGTCCTGTCTCCAACCTTCGCTTTGTTGTGAAGGTTGTTGAGAGTGTGATTGCACGACAACTGCCTCAGTACCTGGATGAATCGAATTATCTAGATCCGTTCCAGTCGGGCTTCAGGCCCGGGTACAGCACAGAGACAGCATTGGTCGCATTGGTTGATGATCTCTGGAGAGCTCGGGACAGGGGTTGCTCCTCTGTCCTGGTCCTATTAAATCTCTTTTAGATAAATTTAGATGTTTTAATCTTGGAACCTAAACCTAAATGATTTAATCTGTTCTAATAGTTTTTAACTTTTATATGTCTTTGTATTTATTTATGGCTGTTCACCACCCTGGTCCCTCGGGAGTAGAGCGGTATACAAATATGAAAAATAAATAAATAAATAAATAGTTCAGTGAAATCATAATCCATTAGTTTCTAGGCTTTTTTCAGGCAGCCAGCAAGCACCCTGCTGCCCATTGGGAGACTAAGCTAGATCTATTTCGGACTTATTAGTCCTCATCAGTTAGCCCCACCCTCATCCCATGTATCCTCCCTGTGAAGGTACAGTATTTCTTTTCTTTTCTTTTTTTTCTGTAGGCTTTAGGTTTATTTCTCTTTAGCCAGGTTCTTCCTACATAAATCAATTGTAAGCCTACGTAACCGATGAGGACTAATAAGTCCGAAATAGATCTATCTTAGTTTCCTTAGTCTCTCAATGGGCTGCAGGGTGCTTGCTGGCTGCCTGAAAAAAGCCTAGAAATTAGTGGATTGTGATTTCACTGAACTAGGGCTGCATAAAAATCTTGGTTTACGTAGGAAGAACCTGGCTAAAGAGAAATACACATAAAGGCCTACGAAAAGAAAAGAAATATTTACATATTCTTATATACTAATTTACATTTCCAATACTTATTGATTACCATAATTATAATTATATCATCATCTATAATTATAATCCAACATTATCCTTTATCTCTCTCCCATCGTTTCTGGATCCAATCATACCACATGTTCCAACTACTATAAAAATCTGAGACCCATTTCCTCAATTTTTCAAGATGCTCTTGAATCTTGATATTGCCCTCTAAGGCATTTGCTATCTCTCATATATTTATTATCTACAAATATAATAATTACTTTTTTCTAACCTCTCATTCTAGAGAGTTAGAAATATTTTGAACAACACAGGATGGCAAAGCTATGGCAGAGGTGGCATGTAGAGCCCTCTCTGTGGGCACGCGCCTCCCGCCAGCCAGCTGGTTTTCGGGTCTCTGCCGCACATGGGTGGGAGGAGCAGGGAACATGCGGGAGATGCGCGTGCATGCATGCATGGGGTGCACACGGAAGGTGGGGCACACGGGAGGGTTATGCGTGCATGCCCGGGGACACATGGGGGCTTGCATGCACATGCGTGGGAGCGCACAGGGGGTCTCACGCACATTGCATTATGGGTGTGCTTCGGTGTGTCGTGTGAACGCAGCCCGGCGTCCTTGGCAAGAGGGAGGGAAGGCGACTCTCACCAGGCAAAGGGGACCTTGCGATGCTCCTGCATGATGTAGTGGTCGTTGTTTTTGGGCAAGGCGCGCATGAGGCCGAAGTCTCCGATCTTGACCAGGTCATTGGCAGCCAGCAGGATGTTCCGGGCGGCCAGATCCCGGTGGATGAAGCGCTTGGACTCCAGGTAGGCCATGCCGCGGGCAATCTGGATGGCGTAGTGGCAGAGGGTGGCGATCAGGAAGTGGCCCAGGTTCTTGCGCAGGCGGTCCAGCAGGGAGCCCAGCGGGCCAGTTCCGTCACCTGAGCGGCAAAGGGGCCACAAGGACCGGGGTTAGGAAGAAACCACGTCCACAAAGCAAACCCTGGGTGTAGCCATTACAGGTATGCTTAACCACCACTGGGCATGCTTAATGACTGCTGGGATTCGCTTAACGACTGCTGGGTATGCTCAACGACTGCCTGGACTCGCTTAATGACTGTTGGGTATGCTTAATGACTGTTGGGTATGCTTAATGACTGCCAGGACTCGCTTAACGATGACTGGAATCATTTATCAACTGCTGGGTATGCTTAATGACAGCCGGGACTCATTTAACAACCACTGGGTATGCTTAACGACTACTGGGACTCGCTTAATGACTGCCGGGACTCACTTAATGACTGTTGGGTATGCTTAATGACTGTTGGGCATGTTTAATGACTGCCAGGACTCGCTTAACAACTACTGGGACTCGTTTATTGACTGCTGGTTATGATTAATGACTGCTGGGACTCATTTAACAACCACTGGGTATGCTTAACAACTACTGGGACTCGCTTAATGACTGCCGGGACTCACTTAATGACTGTTGGGCATGTTTAATGACTGCCAGGACTCGCTTAACAACTACTGGGACTCACTTAATGACTGCTGGGTTCACTTAACAACCGCCACAAAAAACGTTGCAATTACATCGTGACTCACTTAAGGACCATCTTATGACCACCATTTACGGTCGTTATCAAGATCAGACCGCACGGACAAGTGAACCAAGGTCATTATCCTGCCTGCCGACATCCCTGCGAACCCCCGGCCCCATTCTCTACGCCGGGCGTCTTTCTCCAAGGTTCTGTGGGGGGGGGTTTGAAGCCCGGTGGGTCCCTCACCATCTTCATGGGGTTGGAGAGCACCACCCCGTAGAGGCGGATGAGGTTGACGTGGTCCAGGGAATGCATGGCGTTGACCTCGCGGATGAAGTCGTCCAGGGCTTCCGGCTGATTCAGGACGTCCGTCTTCAGGCACTTGACTGCCACGTTCAGCTGGGGAAGGGAAAGGCGATAAATCTCTTGCACCGACAGATCTAGAATCAGATCCCGTCCCTTTTCTAGATCCACCAGCCAAATCAGACCCGGTAGTAGACTTTATATTCTCAAGCTTCCTCTTTCCAATATGTATTCAAGATGGACAGGGATTAATATACATATGCATTGGTATGTATGGTTGTAGGTAGGTAGGTGGGTGGATGGATGGATGGATGGATGGATGGATGGATGGATGGATAGATAGATGAATATAGAAATTAGATGGATGGATGGATATAGAAGGATAGTTAGATGTTAAATAAATGGATGGATGGATGGATGGATAGATGGATAAATGAATATAGAAGGATAGTTAGATGATAAATGGATGGATGGGTGGATGGATGAAGGATGGATGAATATAGAAGGACAGATGGATGGATGGATAAATATAGGATAGATGGATGGATAGATGAATATAGAAGGTTGGATGGATGGATGGATGAATATAGAAGGATGGATGGATAAATGGATGGATAGATGAATATAGGATAGTTAGATGGATAGATGGATGGATGAATATAGAGGATGGATAGAGATATATATGTATGTATGTACCGTATATAGCATGTTATGTGTGTTATGTATGTGTACACTTTTAAGAGCAGGCAACAGAATTTCTATTTATTTATTTAGTCATGTTTATATACTGTGTATTGGAGGGGGTGACCCTTTGAGAGCTGCATGCAACGAAATTTCATTTTAACGTATGCCGATTAGAGCACATACAAAGTGACAATAAAGTTTTTCTACTCGTAGCATTTTCAAATTCTGAAGATTGCTCCTTTTTCTTACAGGCTTCCTTCTGTTTCTGAGAGGTTGCACTTTATAATCGTAAACCTGGGAGGGGACCCCAAAGATCATCTAGTCTAGGCGTCCAACCTTGGCCACTTTGGAGACTTGTGGATTTCAACTCCCAGAATTCAACTCCTCAGCGGCTAGGGAATTCTGGGAGTTGAAGTCCACACCTCTTCAACTTCCCTAAGTTCACTCTTGGGACGGAAATTACTCCCAGGAGTAAGTCTTCTCTTAAATAAAAACTGATCTCTAAGTCCACTCTTGGACTGAACTTACTCCCAGGAGTAAGTCTTCTCTTAAATAAAAACCGGTCCCTAAGTCTGCTCTTGGACTGAACTTACTCCTAGGAGTAAGTCTTGCCTTAAATAAAATCCGGCTAGCTGCAAGCAGCACCCTCCCCCCCGTCCTTGCTTACCACCTTGCCTGATGGGGCGCACCATTCCCCGCGGCGCACCACCCCAAAAGAACCGTCGCCCAGTTTCTCCAACAACACCAGGTCCTTCTCACTGATGAGGCAGGTCAGGGCCTGTTGTTGGGCCTCCTCGAGGGCCACCGGGCTTGACTGCTTGCTCAGGAGACTCGGGGGCAGCGGCTGCATCTCCGAGTCGGGGCGCTTCCCGCTGAAGACCTGTGGGAACAACAGAGGAACATGAGTGACACAAGCTGGGGACCGAAATTGTGAAGGAGAACAATAATTCTGTTTTTTTTTTAAATTTATTTTTATCCTACCTACAACCTAATATGCCTTCCTCCTCCTATTTTCCACGCAACAGCCCTGGTAAGGTAGGTTGGGCTGAGAGAGAGGCCCAGTCACCCAGCCGGCTTTCATGGCAAAGGCAGAACTAGAAGTCACCGTCGCCTGGCGATGGGCCCAAAGTCAACCAGCCTGCTTTCGTGCCTAAAGTGGGACTAGAACTCACCATTTCCTGGTGATTGGTCCAAAGTCACCCAGCTGGCTTCCATGCAGAAGGCAGAACTAAGCTATTGCTTAACGCATTGTAAGCCGCCCTGAGTCTCCGGAGAAGGGCGGCATATAAATCAAATTAAAAAAAAAAAAAAAAGAACTAGAATTCACCATCTCCTGGTGATTGGCCCAAAATCACACAGCCAGCTTTCATGCTAAGACAGGACTAGAACTCACTGTCTCCTGGTGATTGGCCCAAAGTCACCCAGCCAGCTGTCATGCCTAAGGCCGGACTAGAACTCACCATCTCCTGGCTGCTAGCCTGGTGTCTTAACCACTAGGTTTACTCTAAAATAGGGTTTTGGCCCTATTTTTTTAACATTCTGATTTCATCCGTTTAATTTTTCTTCTCCTATATTTTTTCCAATGCTTCTTACCCTAATTTCCTGTCGTGCCTTATCTGTCACTGACCAGTATCAGTTTTAACGTAGGTACACACCTCTATGTATTCACTTAGTAGTGTAATACACCTAACGTATAACTCTGGTACTTTTCTCTAAAAAGTATTTTTAGTAACCGATTATGTTTTCTTGGCAACCAAGCTTGTTTTTCCACTATCTTTTCTTAGGAGTGTTAATTTCCACTTTCCCAAGTTACTTAGCGGTCCTGGGATTTCCTGGTGGGGAGCCATCCCAGTACTAACCAAATCACGATCTGATCCGATGACATATTTCAAAGTCAGTCAAGGTTTCCTTTCTCCTACATTATTATTGTGACTCCTGTGTCTTGCCCAAAGCACCCTCCTTCAAGTCGGTTCTTTCTGTTTTTCTTTTTAAAGATTCCGCCAAGTTTCTAGTCCTCAGGATCCCCCCTTTCTCTGACCTTGCTCATCCAGGATTTCCGTTTGCACACAGCCTTCCTCCTCTTCACGGCCTCCCAGAGGCGTCTCTGGCCTACAGAAATAAATAACAAGCAGTCACAAAACTAGGAAGAAATCAACTCCTCTCCAGATGTTTCATTCTATGTATTTGCTCCATGTTGGAAGGTTTTTTTTTTGAGCTAGGTAATTCCACCAACATTATAGAAAGTTGACACTACGAGCTCCATTTTTACTCTAATCCACCCAGTTGCAAAATACTGAATTAGAAGTTCTCAAACTTGGCTTGCAGCTAGTCCTCGATTTACAACAGTTCGCGTAGTGACTGAATTTCCAATGACCCTGAAAAAGTGACTTATGACCATTTTTTCATACTTATGACCGTTGCCGCACCCCGTGGTAACATGATCAAAATTCAGCCGCTTAGCAATTGGCATGTAATTTAGGATGGTGGCAATGTCCCAGGATTACAGGATCCCATTTTGTGACCTTTCCAGCCAGTTTACGAGAAACCAATTCAATAGGGGAAAACAGATTCAATTAACAACCATTTGCTTAACAGTGGCAAAAACGGTTGTAAAACAGGATGCAACTCTAACTGTCTTGCTTAGCAACAACTCATTTCACTGTCTTGCTTAGCAATGGAATTTGTGGGCTCCACTGTGGTCGTAAGTCGAGGATTACCTGCACATGGAAAAATTGCTTTAAAATCGGTCTTCTGAGCTATAGATAGTCCTCGTCCTAACAACAGTTCTTTTAGTGACCGTTTGAAGTTACAGCGGGGCTGAAAAAAATGACTTCTGATCATTTTTCCACACTTAACGTCTGCTGCAGTCTGGCAACTGGCCCATATTTATGGCGGTTGTGGTTTCCCAGGGTCATGTGATCCCTTTTGAGAAGCAGTCAACGGGGAATCCAGATTCACTTAACAACCATGTGACTCACTTAGCAACTGCAGGGATTCGCTTAACAGCCATGGCAAAAAAGATCGTAAAATGAGCCAAAACTCACTTAACAACTGTCTCACTTAGGGAAAGAGATTTTGGCCTCCAAAATGACAATTACAAAACCCTCCAAAATTGCTCCTTTCCACCTAATTTTGCAAAACATCCAAGCCCGGAGAGGTGGGATGGGATGGGCTGAAGGACCACTCACCCGGTCGCCCCATTCCGATTTTCTCCAGGTCCTCATTCTTGACATACTCGAAGTGCGACAGGCGAGTGACGTTGAGGTCATCACGGATCCGGAGGAAGTACTGTTGAAGCTGGACTTCGGTCAGGAGTTCGAGCAACCAGTCAGTCCCTTCATCAGCCTGCATGCCACAGCTCAGCTTCTGAAAAGGGAAACTCACGTCAGGATGGGCAGCCACCACCGAGGACCACAGAGCTTGGTTTGAAGAGGAAGTGCTCCTCAAGGGATACTGCGTCCTCCTAAACCCTCTGGAAGAGCTAAATGTTGCCCGCGGAGGCTGAGAAGACACCAAAACACAAGCCAGACTAATTATACCACCATCTCTAGACCATCCCAGAAGTTCTAGAGAACTTCTGAAGGAAGTTTTATTATTACATCCACTGTAATTGGGTGTAATTGTCTTCCACGGACCGGGAGGGTGGGTTTAGATCTTAGATCCTGTGCATGTACAGATGAAGCTTCATTTGCTCGCCCACTACTTGTGTGTCCCGGGCGTCAGGAACTCCTGATCTAGAAATAGAGGTCTCCACCCATGACAACCTGACGACCTATGGACTTCAACTCCCAGAATTCCCCAGCCAGAATTCTGGGAGTCGGTCCATAGGTCTTCAGGTTGCCATGGTTGACCACTTTTGAGCCTAGAACGTCTGCAGGGTTCCATGAACAATTCTAGGCTCAAGAGTGGTCAACCATGGCAACCTGAAGACCTATGAACCGACTCACAGAATTCTGGCTGGGGAATTCAGGTTGTCATGGGTGGAGATCTCTATTTCTAGATCAGGAGTTCATCTGTACATGCACAGGATCTAAGATCTAAACATCTCCTCCTGGTCCGTGGAAGACAATTTTTCTTCCAGAACTGGTCCGTTGTGCCATAAGATTTGGGATTGCGGTTCTAGATCAGGGGTCTCTGTCATGGAGGTTAAATCAATGTACCGTAAAACCTTATCTCTATAACAATTTACTATTTATTTATTTAAATTTTTATACCACCCTTCTCCCGAAGGACTCGGGGCAGTATACAGCCACAATAAAACAACATATATCCATAAAATTTAAAAACAGTTTAAAACATATTAAATAATTTGGCCCTTATATTAAAAAACTAAAAACACCCAATTAAAATTCGTTTTCTAAGCCAGCCCTGTCTGTTGAAACAATAGTCTTAAGGGCACGGCAAAAGGTACGTAGGTCGGGGATCATACGTATCTCCGGGGGCAATTCATTCCAGAGGGCAGGTGCCCCCACAGAAAAGGCTCTCCTCCTGGGTGTCGCCGGTCGACATTGTTTGACCGACGGCACTCTGAGGAGTCCCTCTCTGTGGGAGCGTATTGGCCGGTGGGAGGCTATTGGTGGCAGAAGGCGATCTCGTAAGTACCTGGGTCCTAAACCATGGAGCGCTTTAAAGGTGGTAACCAACACTTGAATCGCACCCGGAAGACCACCGGGAGCCAGTGCAGCTCACGCAGGAGAGGTGTTACATGGGTGCACCGAGTCGCACCCATAATCACCCGCGCGGCCGCATTCTGGACCATTTGGAGCCTCCGAGTGCTCTTCAAGGGGAGCCCCATGTAGAGAGCATTACAGTAGTCCAGACGGGAACTGACGAGGGCATGAGTGACCATGCGAAAAGCGTCCCAGTCCAGAAAGGGACGCAACTGGTGAATCAGGCGAACCTGATAAAACTATAACAAATGAGACTTACTAGCAGTTCACAATAAACTGTTTTTATTGACATAATAATAAAAACATTATCTATTCAAATACTAAATAGTATGTCATTCCTTTTCTTAAATATCCCATCAGATATATATATGTAATCACTCTATACGATTATAGTTCTGGCTATTCTTCCTCAGAAGAAGGAGTCTTTTAATACATCAGATCTACCTCTGATCCCTAATCAGAAATCTCCTAACTGCCAACTTACTGATGATTAACTGTCTTCAGAACTGCCTTCTGAAGACAGTTAGTCATCAGTAAATTGGCAGTTAAAAGATATTGGACTAAAATCCACACATGGCTGGAAAAAATGATAAAGAAACATATTGACTTTAAACCAGGGTAGATAAAAATCAATGATTTTTTTAAAAAAATCAAAAAAAAATAGATTTTTTTTATTTAAATCAGATTTTTTTGATTTTTATCGAATTTATTTTAATAAAAAACTTTTGGGGTAAAAATTGATCGTAAGATAGTTTTCTATTTAAGATACAGAAATAATTTAGTTTATTCAGCATGAAACAGAGCTTAGTTATGTAGCAGGAGGCTGTAGATTCTGCAACACTGGGACTATCGGTCAGTCAACAGTGGGTCAAAGGAGTAGCAGAGATGACAGTTGCTCTTTAAAATTATGATTTAAATCGAGTTGATTTAAATCAAGCCTTTTTACTAGTGATTTAAATCATGATTTAAATTGTGATTTAAATCAACTCGATTTAAATCAAATCCACCCTGCTTTAAACCAGAGATATTTTTATTAGGGATTGTACCAGAGACATATAATAGAGAAATGAAATATTTAATTGTGAATGTTTTAACGGCAGCTATAATTGTATTTGCCAAAAACTGGAAAGGAGAGAAGATACCTACTGATGATGATGTTATTAAGAAAATTTTGGAATGTGCTGAAATAAGCAAATTGACATTTGAAATTAGAGAACAGGAAGATAAACATTACTATTTGATATGGGATTTATTTTTATTACTGGCTAGACAACAAAGCACGGAAATGAAATATTTTGTTTTCCTTTTTGTTTTCTTTATGGGAGATAAGTTATTGTCAAATAATTGGTAAATGAGAATAATAATGTAGTAAATTGTCAAATAAGAAAATGTTGGATAAGGGATTAAGCACAAAAGATTTGTAACCGATCAACACACTTTTTATAATTGTAATGGATGATATGTTTTACGTTTTTTGTTTTAAAATAAAAAAAAAAATCCAAAAAAAAGAACTGCCTTTCAATTGCATACTGACTGCAAAACTGCCCTTTAACTGACAACTAACTGACTACTAATTTTCTGTCAGGAATCTCCTTTTATACTGTCCCAGTGACAGTTAGGGGAGGGAATATAAAAGCCCTGGAGATTCAAACCCATCAGCTGCCTTCTGATTGGCTCACCCACTTGTCCATACCAAAAGCCATTAATAGGCACAGCAATTGAGAAACAACTTTTCTCTAACAGTCTCCAACCTTGGCAACTTTTAGACTTGTGGACTTCAACTCCCAGAATTCCTCAGCCAGCTTTGCTTAGTCTCTTGTAATCCCTTCCTCTGCAATCTCTCCACTTTGGCAGGTAAGAGAAATGGCTGAGGAATTCTGGGAGTTGAAGTCCACAAGTCTTAAAGTTGCCAAGGTTGGAGATCCCTGTTCTAGATGACTTCACCTTCTGTGGTGAAATCTCCCCGTGTTTTCTCACCGACTTTTCCTCACCCTGCTAGCCTTCAAAGCTGTGGACTTCAATTCCCAGAATCCCCTGGCAAATAAAGCCAGGGGATTCTGGGAAACCTGACTGGAGCAAGCTTGTAAAATAGATTAAATAACTTTTATTGTTGTATTGTTCTTTTTACTTGTCAGCACACTGGCCCACATTAAAAATGAAATTCTTTCTCTCTTCAAGAGAAAGTGTCTATCTATCCAAACACCTATACATAACACATATACACATGCTATATACACATATAAATATAAACCTGCACCATACATACATACATATATACACATATATATTTATATAAATCACTGTCCATTTTGAATATGTAGTGGAAAGAGGAAACTTGAGAGTTGAAATTCAGTGTAGAGAAAAGTCAAGTCTTACACTTAGGCAAGAAAAACCAAATGTACACAGTAACAATAACAGAGTTGGAAGGGACCTTTGGAGGTCACCTAGTCCAACCCCGGTGAGTTCTAGTCCTGCCTTAGGCATGAAAACCGGCTGGGTGACTTTGGGCCAATCACCAGGGGACGGTGAGTTCTAGTCCTGCCTTAGGCATGAAAGCCAGCTGGGTATCTTTGGACCAATCACTAGGAGATGGGGAGTTCTAGTCCTGCCTTAGGCATGAAAACTGGCTGGGTGACTTTGGGCCAATCACCAGGAGACGGGGAGTTCTAGTCCTGCCTTAGGCATGAAAGCCGGCTGAAAGCTATCATGTTAAGTTTGATGCTTTGAGTATTTTTGTAAAAATAATCAAGGCAGGATGCAAGTAAGTAAATAAACCTGAAAGCGCTCGAAAGCTGGCCTGCGGAGAGGAAGCTTGCTTGCTTCCTATTTCCCAGCCCCCCCCCCCCCCCCCCCCCAGCGGCCTGCTTCCCTCCCACCCCCATCCTTATCCGCTTTGCCATGTCTGCACGTCACACTGCCGCGTCTGGCACGAAACGATGGCAGCAGCAGCAGCTGGCACCTTCATCAGCAGTCCCCCTCCTCCGTCTCCATCCGAGGGGAGTGGGTGTCCAGCCCCCCCCCCCCCTCCCCCCCCCCCCCCCCCCCCACCCTCCAAGAGGCACATCGTGTATATGGGAGACAAACGGGGCTTTTGTTCGGCGTTCCAAACGATTCCACATGCCTCTCACGGTCGAAATCCCCCGTGCCAAGCAGAATCTGGATTTTGCATCATCGGCGGAAAAGGGAAAAAGGTGCGATTGTGCAGGAAGTGACAAACCCCGGGGTCTTGGGAACCAGTCTGAAGGAGGTAGGATGGAGCAGTTAAAAAAATGCAACGCGGAGGGGGTGGGGGGGAGGATCGGGAAGAATTGAGGAAGAGGAAGGGAGGAGAGGAAGGAGAGGGACGGAGAGAAACAGCTGTGCACAAACAACAGTCCTGGGACCCAATGTTCCAATGCCAGCATTAGGCTTTTTTTTGCAACTGGGTGGAAACTACTCTTCGAATTACAATCCATGCTCAATGAATCAGAGCAGAGCTGGAAGGGACCTCGGAGGTCTTCTAGTCCAACCCCCTGCCACAAGCAGACCAGGGGTGGGCGAATGTCGCTCTTTTACAACCTGTGGACTTCAACTCCCAGAATTCCTAAGTCAAGCTGTCTCAGGAATTCTGGGAGTTCAAGTCCACAGGTTGTAAAAGAGCCACAATTGCCCACCCCTGCCCTAAACCATTTCAGACAAACGGTTGTCCAATCTCTT